GACACAGGGGACAACCTGACACAGGGCACAGCTGGACACAGTGCACAGCCAGACACAGGGTACAACCTGACACAGGGTACAGCCGGACTGGGGCCACTGCCTGTCAGGGGACACAGCTGGACACAGTGCACAGCCAGACACAGGGCACAGCCGGACACAGGGTACAACCTGACACAGGGCACAGCTGGACAGGGGTCACAACCTGTCAGGGGGCACAGCTGGACACGATGCACAACCGGACACGGGGCACAGCCGGACACAGGGCACAACCGGACACGAGGCACAACCTGATAAAGGGCAAAGCTGGACAGGAGTCACAATCTGACACAGGGCACAGCTGGACACATGGCACAGCCAGACATGGGGCACAACCAGACAGGGGGCACAGCTGGACAGGGGGCACAGTCGGATGCAGGACCCAGCCCAGGTCCCACAGGGAGTTCCCAGCCCTTCCTGCCCCATCCCTGCTCCGAGGAGGCGGGATCCTCGGCAGAATCCAACACGTGCCACGATCCCGGTCTCCGGTGAAGCCGTCGCACCCTTCCAGCCCATCCCTATCTACTTTTCATTAAAAGCAAGCCGTCTTATTCCATTAATTTCTCATTTACCGCGAGTAAAGTGCTGATACGGACATTTTACCTACGGTGTTTTTAATCAGTTAATTTAACCAGAAACATTAATAATGTATTTCCTTGCCACTTGACTGCTCATCTGTTAAACAGCTTACACACAGAGAAGAGTGTCACCCCTCGTGACATGAAGTACCTAATACAGTGCAAATGAAATAAGATTTTGCATATTTAATGTCAAAATGGAAAAAGGAGAGACGCCGTCTCTTGGGAACGCACACTCTGGAGCGGATCAACGTACAGCTGAGCCCGGAGGCCTCGGGCCTCCCCGCGGTGCTGGGTTGGAGCCCGTCGGCATCGCGGACCGGGCAGCCCCGCTCGTGCTGCTCGTGACACGGGTGTCCCAGCGCCGTCTCCGTCCTGTCCCCGGGACACAACGGACCGAAGGAGCCGTGTGGAGACACCAGGGAGGGGACGCCGGGCGCCGCGGGCACCGGAGGCCGGAGCGGGAGAACCTGGGCTGGCTCCAGCCTCGGAACGAGCTATTTCACAACAGGCTTCTGCCAGGATGTCACATGGAAAGCGACTGTCAGAAAGCTGTCTAAATGTGTTAGCAACACTGTCAGCGGGGGAGAGAAAAGTGTTATCAGAAATGGTGGTTCTTCAAAGCTAAATAACTCCGTGATTTTGCAAGGAGTAGAAGACAGGAGATCACACCAACCCCGAGCGCTGCTGAAAACTCCTTCCCGCCAACGACGCTGTTTGTTTTGTTAAACAGGGGAAGAGGGGAGAAAATAAAAACCTAAAATAACCTCGAGTGCCTCAACTTAGCGCTCTGCAAAGCTAAAACGAGGCGGATTGCGCGGACGCGGAGCAGAGCTCGGAGCGCGGGCGCCGGGATGGGACCTCAGTCCCGATGGAGGCCCCGCTCGTGCCTTCCTCCAGCACCAGCACCTCGAGAGTGGAGCTGCAGGGAGCCCCGGGGCGCCTCTCCTCGGCACCGGGGCCTTTTTGCTCCTTTAGGGATTTGGATTTTGCTGCTCTGGCAGAGCGGGGGCCCCTCCGTCTCGCACCGTCCTCCCACCGCACGCCCGGGGCCTGGCCGCGCTATCGCTTCTCTGATTCGGGACCTCAAAGGTAGTTTCAGATTTGCTCTAGATTTTCATTTTGATTTTAAAAAAACCCACTCCCACAGCAGCTTCAGTGGTCATAAAATAAAATCATATAAAATAGTAAGGCGTGAGGCTGGTTCCAGTGAGCGTGCTTTTCTCTCACTTGCTGATTGACATTCTCTGGAGAGCAATTAGCTTGCTTTAAAGCAACACAGTAATTGAGAAACACGTTGGTTTTGGCTGCTAACACTCAGTGACCTGCTGCTCCCTGCCCTCACCTGTGACAGCAGTGTCACCCCTGATCCCTTGCAGCCTTTCGCGCGGCAGGCGCTGGCACCGGGGCCGCAGCCTGCTCGACCGCCGCCGCTTTAGTATCTCGGATGAAGCGTGTTTATAGATGGGATATAAAAGCAGGGACCGTTTTGTTGTTGGCTTTTTATTGCCCATTGACTTCCTATATTTTTATAAGAGCGAAGCCGCGGGGAGGCTGCTGTGAGCAGAGCCAGGCTCAGGAAAGCGGAATGGCAGCGCGCTGGGGACGGGGACGCGCGGGCGGGTGCGCGTGGGTACTCGGAGGTGTTCGTGGGTGCTCAAGGGTGTGTGTGGGGGCGTGTGGGTGTTCGCGGGTGCTCACGGATGCTCGAGGGTGCGTACGGGTGCTCACGGGTGCTCATGGGTGCTCGCAGGTGCTCACAGGTGTGCGTGGGTGCTCACGGGTGCTCACGAATGCTCATGGGTGCTCACAGGTGCTCGCGAGTGCTCACGAATGTGCACAGGTGCTCACGGGTGCTCATGGATGCTCACGTGTGCTCATGGGTGCTCGCAGGTGCTCACAGGTGTGCGTGGGTGCTCACGGGTGCTCACGAATGCTCATGGGTGCTCACAGGTGCTCGCGAGTGCTCACGAATGTGCACAGGTGCTCACGGGTGCTCATGGATGCTCACGTGTGCTCATGGGTGCTCGCAGGTGCTCACAGGTGTGCGTGGGTGCTCACGGGTGCTCACGAATGCTCATGGGTGCTCACAGGTGCTCGCGAGTGCTCACGAATGTGCACAGGTGCTCACGGGTGCTCATGGATGCTCACGTGTGCTCATGGGTGCTCGCAGGTGCTCACAGGTGTGCGTGGGTGCTCACGGGTGCTCACGAATGCTCATGGGTGCTCACAGGTGCTCGCGAGTGCTCACGAATGTGCACAGGTGCTCACGGGTGCTCATGGATGCTCACGTGTGCTCATGGGTGCTCACGGGTGCTCACGGGTGCTCGCAGGTGCCGCTGGCCTGGACCGCTCCACTCGGTGGCATTTCCGCCGCCCCGGGGCTGACGGAGGGTATTTGCAGTGGTCCCTTCATCAGTGACCACCTAACGTTCACCACCCAAAACAGCAGCTGGCTGGTGCCTGTTATTTCAAGGCAA